CTGCCTCCCGAGTGCTGGGATTAAAGGCATGCGCCACCACACCTGGAAAATAAAATATTTTTAAAAAAATCTTGCCACTCTACGTACCCACATCTGCAATGATTTCAAGTGTTGATTCTGAGGTTACAGATACATTTAGTGGGGCTGGGGAGATAGCTCAGCAGTTAATAGCACTGGCTGCTCTTGCAGAGGAAAAATAAAATATTTTTTAAAAAATCTTGCCACTCTACGTACCCACATCTGCAATGATTTCAAGTGTTGATTCTGAGGTTACAGATACATTTAGTGGGGCTGGGGAGATAGCTCAGCAGTTAAGAGCACTGGCTGCTCTTGCAGAGGACCTAGGTTCCATTCCCAGAACCCATATCACAGCTAACAACTATCTGTAAGGGGAATCTGATGCCCTCTTCAGATCTCTGTGGGCATTGCATGACATACATATATCCCGGCAATACACTCATACACATAAAACAAATATAATAAATTAAAAAAAAATTTTTTGTCTTCTTGAGACAGGGTCTCCCTGTAGTCCCAGCTGACCTGAAACTCACTATGTAGACCAGGCTGGCTTCTATCTCATAGAGATCCACCTGCTCTGTCTCCCGAGTGCTGGAATTAATGGTGTCTGCTACCATACTGGCTCTTTTTAAAAAAATTATTTTTATTTATATGTATGAGTGTATTGCCTGCATGTATGTGAGTGCACCCATGTCATGCAATGCCTCAGAGGGCTTTGGATTCCCCTGGAACTGGAGTTAAGGACAGTTCATAGCCACCATGTGGGTGCTGGGAATCGAGCCCAGGTCCTCTGCAAGAGCAGTCAGTGCTCTTAACCGCTGAGCCATCTCTCCAGTCCCAAAATATTTTGTGAAAACAAATACATTTATTGAGTAGGCAAGTGCAAAAATACAGACTCTGAGAAAAGGATTGACTGTGAGGATAGATGTTTAATTTATCTATCTACCATGGTAGTTCATCATTGTTTTTTGTTTTGTTTCTTGTTTTTTGATTTTGAGACAGGGTCTCCCCATAGCGCTAATTAGCCTGGAACTCACTATGTAGACCAGGTTAGTCTCAATCTCAGAGATCCACCTGCCTCTGCCTCCTGAGTGCTGGCATTAAAGTCATACATCCTCATGCCTGGCCTTTTTTGTTTTTGTTTTTAACTTTATATATGATGTCTTATATCATTTGTATTTAATTTAGGCAATTTTGTCAATTTGTTCCTTATGTTCAGGATTTTTTTCTGAATTCCTGACTCCACAGGGAGCCAGATAAACCTTTGCACCCTCAACTGTCATCAGGATCTTGGAGGGTTCTGGGACTGACTGCTGCTTATTTAATAACTCATTATATAGACCAGGCTGGCCTTGAACTCACAGATAATCTCCCTGCCTCTGTGGGACTAAAGGCATGCGCCACCATGTCCCACCAGAAAATTAATCTTTTACATTTGGCTCTCTCCATCTTCCTCTGAGACTTAAGGATTACCCACCTGCCCTTCCACCTGCTTGAAGTTTTCCATCCTTGCCTGTGCTGCTTAAGTCCTCCCTCCCCCACATCCTGGCTTCCTTCCCGGTGGCACCCTGCCACTGCACAGGTCTCAGCTCTGCCCACACCTTTACCCATTATCTATCTGTGGTGTCCTGGGATGCTTTTTATCCTCCATTTTCCCTAACCAATTTCTTCACTAATTTAACACTTAATTGCTTTTTTATTATTGTTTGTTTTTTTTTGAGACAAGGTCTCACTATGGAGCCCCAGATGACCTGAACTCAGAGAGATCTGTCTGCCTCTGCCTCCAGAGTGCTGGCTAAACGCATGCGCCACCACACCCATGTCAAACAAAATAAAACAATAAAGACTTATGAAAAGGCAACACATTGCCGGGCATGGTGGCGTACATCTTTAATCTCAATCCACAGAGGCAGGTGGATCTCTGGGAGTTCAAGTCCAGCCTGGTTTAGATAGTGAGTTCCAGGCCAGCTGGGTAGAGAGAACAACAGATTATGAAAAATATTTCTGTATTTAGTTTCTGATTCAATCTTGATTTTGAAGAACAGCAAGTTGGTCTTGCTAATTTTGTTTTGTTTTGGATAATATAAAAAAGCTGTTTGCATCCCTTAAGTCTAGAATTAATTAAAACACTGTCTTAGAAAATCCATCACATGGAGACTCTTTGTGCCACACAAAATGACTCCAGTGAACACTGAGCACATGAAGAGCTGGGGCGGGAAATGCTGGGCTCATAGACCTCCTGGAAACCTGCTGCTGCTTCTGATGTTCCAGGAGCACTCATGAGGCGCACATTCCAGATCTCATTTCTGATGATCTCCCCTCTGCTAAGGTGCCAGACTGCTGAATACAAAGAAGTTGAGTGACTCTTACCTGTTGTCTGTAAGCTTAAGCCTGGGTCCAGCTTTGCATGGGGCTTTGAGCTGATGAACAGGTAGCAGAGCCCACAGGCGGTGAGAATGAAGGCCAGGAGGACCATGGCAGCTATGGAGAGGCCCACAGAGCTCCGATGCTGGGAAAGAAGACCACACAGGGACTGAGTGCTGGGCCCTGAGAGACAGTAAGCCACAGGAGTATGGTAGAAGGAGAGAAACAGCTCTGACTTTCCTTTTGTTCTTGTCTTAAATAAGATTTTTCTAAGTGTGGGAACCAGTGTCAGTTATAAGTCAACTACTCAGCAAAACTTGACACAGATCAGTGCTATCAGGTAACTGGGACTCACTGTGTCTGCCTTCCTTCCTTCTCCCTGCTTTCCTCAACCTACTCCCAATCCCAAGGAGCCAGAGATGCTTGTACATACCCCTTGACAACCTGAATAAAGGCACACATAGGCCTCAGTTATAAACCAGATGGCCTTCCAGCCTCAAGAACTAGTGGTTCCAACATTGGAGTAGCTCCTACATTGATCACATGGTTGGTTCCCCTGACAACCAGACCTCATCCACAGGTGCTCCAGGAGCACCAAGAGTCGCTGTACCAGAATAAAAGAACAACAACAAACATCTTTGGGGACTCCGATTCAGAAACTGGGGTTTAAGACCACATGTTAAGGCTGGGTGTGGTAGTGCGTGCGTTTAGTCCCAGCACGTGGGAGGCAGAGGCAGGCAGATCTTTGTAAGACTGAGGCCAGCCTGGTCTACATAATTCTAGGCCAGCTGGGGTTACAGGGAGACCCTGCCTGAAAAAGACCACCCCAAAAAAGGCCATGATAGAATAAAGATCTCCTA